AGGTATAGGGAAATAGTATATGAATTTGTTGACAAAGTGATAATGAATCATAATATGATATTATATATGGGGTGTTCCATTTGAAAAATCAAAGAAGCCGCTACTTTATAGTAGAAGCGACAACGCCGCTTCGTCTAAAATATTTTAGGCATGTAGGTCATATTGATTTATGCATACTGTGGAATTTTCAGGTTGATCCGTTAAATAGTTTGCCAGAAACGGCTAATTAACGCTCATCATGAAAAGCCCTGTATAATACGATTAATTGTTCACGTAACAAAATGTTAAGTTTTTGGAACATGAAACATAATGAGTTTTTTGAGATCAAGTTGGTACAATGTTCTTTCCAGTTTAAACCAGAGTCTATAGTAATTCCAAGAAATTTAACTGATAAACTAGGCTCAATCAAGATTTCATCAGTTTTTATTGTTACAGTTTCACATTGTTTTTGGTAGTTGTGGAAATATGATCACTTGGTGATCGAAACAAGTGTCGAGGTGTTAAATAAGAAAAGAAAATAAATGAGAACGTTTTCCTGATTGAAATTACGGAAAAACCCAGAAACTGAAGTGAACGCGAATGAAAAACAATCGCATTTTTGTATGTAAATCAAAAATTTCTCAGCCATGCTCTCAATATACGCTACTATCAGCTCCTCTGATATTCAATATGAATGTTTTTGTTGTTATGAAAGTGTTGTCAGGATTTATAAATCACTGTAATTCAATCAGCATGATTTAGAGTATTGTATTACTGAACGGGTTGTTTTTATCATCGCTGGAATGTCAGGAAAAGCTAGACAAACAGTGTCGTGCCGATAAAGGAATAATAAAGTAAAGTAAAGTTTATTGAATACGTTACATGCCAAAGATGTTTATAGTAAGTCATTTGCCTGGAGGCAATAAATATTGAACAACACAAACACTTCAAAATAAATCGTAAGATAACCGCAGTTAACAAATGTCTTAACAGTCGGTAGCCACTGTGTGAACCGGTGGTTCGAACCGCAAGACCGAACAATCGATTTTCACTACCTACCGTCCAACACGCGCTAGGAATCACTCGTTGAAAGGTAAGACCTCGTTAGTCCTTAGCTCGCACAAGTTTCGAATTCTGTCATAAAAACCTTGCGAATGAAAAAAGAAATATCTATTATGAAAAATGAGAAACGAAACTTTCTATGTTTCTATGTGGTAAAAACATAGAAAGTTTAATTTTTCATGATAATTTCCTACCACGTAGTAACGACTACATCCATCTATTAGATAACTACAGACAAATTTCTCTGCTTTGTGAACTTTCCAAACTATATGAGAAATTAGTGGCCAGCAGAATTATCAGCTATCTGGAAAGTAATACCCTGCTATCAAACTGCCAACACGGTTTTAGGAAAAATCATTCTATTGAAACAGCTAGCTATTGTTTTCTCAGTCATATTTATGAAAAACTTGATAAAAATGATTTTATTATCAGTGTGTTTTTTGACCTGTCAAAAGCATTTGACACGGTATCAACTAATTTTGTGTTGACCAAATTAAGTGTGCTTGGTTTGCCTAATAACATAGTACTATGGTTTAAGTCTTACTTGAGTGGTCGTAGCATAATTGTAAANTTAACATATGTCACAAAAAGGATTTGAAACTATATAACTTCTATTTATTATATGCGAGCGCTTTCAATAGCTGGCTGTGCTATCATCTTCTTGGCTCTACTCAAACTGACCATTTTATCTTCTTGTTTGTTCTTTTATGCGGTTAAAACGCCTTAGTGCAGGTACTGCAGGTAAATTTGTCTGTATTTGGGTTGGTGATATCCTTTGTCAACCTACCTACCTTCAAACAATATCCTATGTGTTAGGTCTTGTTGTGTTTTGATTTGTATTTGTTCCTCAAATCAAATGTCAGCTGTCGCTGACATTTCTGAACGGTGTACATGGGAGAACAAAAAATAGAAATTTTGATCAAGAGTAAACTACCCTTATATTCGCCATTATCAAAAAAGTTTATTTAGAAAAGTTGTGTAAATTGGAAAACAATATACACCCACCTACGTACAAGACAAAAAAATCCATTTTTTATAATTGTAGCCTCAGAAAGAGTACTAGTATCTCATATACACCTTAAGCGCCTTCCTCATATTACTATAATAATATTTCAATGCGAAATTCAGTCCAGTTTATTATTCGAACTAGTTTGTTGAAAATGATTTGAATTTTTACTAGTTTTTTTGGTGCAAAATTTATATTTCACTCTGTATGTATGTCCATAATAACTATCAGTATTATTCAATGACAAGACTATGCAGATTAAATATTTCTGCTGTTTTTCTATTTGTTCTATTTTCTCTATGAATTAGAATTATTTCAATTTTGTTATTTGCACTCAGCATTGTGAATAAATTTATACGGATAAATCTCTAATTAGGTAATAAATTTCATACTCACAAGTAGGAAACGCAAAATTGTTTACTTAAAATGTCAAAAAATCAAAGGTAATGTGATTTTAGCAATTCATAGACGAATTTTCAATGTGAAATATGAAATTATTCCTAATTCATATACGATAAACCTTATTATGTAAAAACTTTCGTTTGGAAAAAAATACTTTTTTTAAGGAAAAAGTGTATGCTGAAAGACCATTNGTCGGCTCAAAGGTAAAGTTTATAATAATTTTTTCAAGTTTATTTTTGAGGAAAATTCTGAAACGCATCAATATTTATTATCAAAATTCATAACTTTTGAAAATAAACCATTTTTAACAACGAGGTGACCCAAGCAAGTCAACTTTTTGCTTCAGTACTTTTATTTATTATGATAGCCTTCTGTAATTAACTAGAAAACCGCATAGAGCTAAATAATAACGCAATTCAGTTGAAGCAAATGTGACATGTTTAGATCCCCTACATAGTATAACTACGCCAATGGCAAGCTGGACTACATTTCGAGCTCGCTCTCAGAATGATAATTGAATAATAGATTCGGTAACAATCAACATGAATTATGTATTTCATACCCATGGTCATTTGGATTCCTTTCATTGAAAAGTATTATCATCCTTCGTTCTAACATTTCTATAAATAAAAATCATATCAATTTTTTTCTTGAACCATATTTTTATAAATCATTTACTAATTGAAATCGAAATTTCACAAAAAACGTTTTTTGTTTCAGGAGCGGTGTGGTGTAGTTAGTGCGAATGGTAGTAGCCCTTTAGAAAATATGAGAGGACTAGAACATTATTTGAATGACATTATGAGTCCCCAAAGCAATGCCAATGATATGAAAGGTAAGTTTTGATATTTTTAATAATTCATCGCTAACTCTGGTTGAAATAACACACATAAAGTATGACTTTTGTTCAAGTTGGAGAAGCATCGGTTTCGTAACCGATGTCGAAAATAAATTACTCAAAAATGAGTACAACTAATTGTAGGCTACAATTTTTAAAATCTTTTTTGAAATTTTGCAAAGTTTCATGTGGATGAAAAATGCAGAACATTGAAATCTACGGTTCCGATACTAAAACTCAAATGCTGACTGAAAACAATTAACAGTAGCAAAACAAATGAAAAAATTAACAGAACAAGGAATAAATATACAAAAAGGTGGGGGAAATTGAATGATTGGGTGAAAATTACCACGTTGTTTCGAAAGTTTATTCTGGTTTAATGAGTCTACTCTAAACTGTAATATCTCAGTGAATACTCATTTGAATTAATTGAAATAAGCGTCATTCGAATCAGTGTACTTTGGCCAACGTAATACAAATCGATAAATTTTGAATTTTGTGCTCAGGATTCGATGAATTCGACGAAGGCCGCTTTTGCCTGATCCTGATTGACGAAGGTTCTACAGGTGGAAAAATTTATCAAATTGGTTAGGTTAGGTTAGGTGCAAAGTGAGTGGGTCTATTCGAGCCTCCACCGTAACCCGCAAGGGTTTATTGTGGCTCACACCTATTCACACTCGACCAAACAAACCCAACTTCTTAACGGAGCCGATTAGTTTGTATGGTGAGTGGTCTTTCAAGTCAGATGGTAAGAGTACGGCTCTGCCAAACTTTAAAAGCCTGATTCGGTCCGCAGCGGGGCAGGCACAAAGTATGTGCGCTGCTGTTTCATCATTTTCCACTCAGTGGCGACACACTGTCTTCCGACAGCCCGCATATGATCATTCAAATGAGAGTGACCTGTAAGAAGGCCTGTTGGACGTCGTAGTACATCCCTACTGTAGTCCAAGAACTGTTTGGTATCAAGCTTCGGAGTGGAATAAACGCCTTGGAGTGAGCCAATCCCCAATCCTGGAAGATTCTGCCAAAGGCCCATAAATTTTCTTGCCATCCAGGTGTTCAATCTTTGTTTGGCAAAGCCTGAAACGATCCCAATGACAGGTTCTGGTCTAGTGAAGCTGCTTGCAGCACCCTCCTTTGCAAGGGAGTCAGCAGTTTCGTTGCCTTCCAGGCCAGTATGGCCAGGAATCCAGACCAAAGACAATCTGTTAAGTCTTCCTATCGAGGAGAGTCGTTTTTGTAAATTTGCTACCAATTTAGACGTTGCTCGGTGGGAGCCAAGAGCTTCCAACACCGCTTGACTGTCGAAAAATATTTTCATTGACTTGTGTAGGGGGGACTGGGGCAAGATGAGAAAGCTAAGACAAAACTCGTTATACAAGGAAAATTAAACTCTTTAATAACATTCTTTAACAAAAGAGGTAACCATTATACATTTCTCTCTTATAATTAAACGTTGTAGCATGCGAAATCACAGAACTTTTTTTGGCAAATAATGAAAAAATAAACTCGGCAAATTTCCCGTTTTGCCCCATAACTGGGGTAAGATGGGAAACGCTGTGGGGCAAAACTAGTACGCTTTTTAATCGGGTAGGCAGCGTTCACAAATGTGTGCCTCTTCATCATCCTCATCTACTCCGGCACATGAATTATGCGCCCAACCGTGGCACACGCCGCAGATGACCCAACCTTCGGTTGAATCTGAGTATAAGTACCCACAATAGATGCAAGCACAGTCATCATCCTCCTCTTGGGATGAACTATCTTCCGATTCAGTTTCTTTTTTGCACCTTTTGGTTTGACGCTTTTTCTGCAGGTTTTCCTTGTCAGTTGTCTTTTTAATCTTCTTTGCAGTCTTTTTTCCAGGTTTCTTTATTTGTTTTTTACCTTTTTCAGTCACTTGATTATCAGTACATAGAAAATGTTATTTTAATCACAAGGGCGGGGCAAAACGGGATAGTATCCCATTATGCCCCGATCATCTTGCCCCGATCCTCACGTAGGTAAAAAAGATGACGCAATTCTAACCTCAAACTTTACCGGCGAAAAAATCTGGTTTGAATTTAATGTTTTGGCCTACTATAATAAGCTCGGGATTGAAATAGTACATTAACACAGGTACTTACATGCCTGTACATCAGTTTTCGAATCAAATATCGCGTAAAAACACTTGCAATATCACTTTTTTCTCTCTGCAACGCAAAAACGAGTTCTAACCTGTTCGCTCTGCTTGGACACACTAGCGGAGAGTGAAGTTCGTACAAATGGCGCTGTTGCCGCTCCGAACACGATTACTATTCACGCACACAAGCTTACTTCCCGTGCTGCCCCTAACTACATCTTGCCCCGGTCTCCCCTACTCTCCGCACACAATTCAATAGCGTAAATTTCCACTTGAAATACAGTCGCATAGGTTCCTAGGCAGGTAGATATATCTGTCCTGGGTCTGCGACTAAAAACACCTGCACCAGAACTGAAAGGTGTTTTTGATCCATCTGTGAACCAACAACTATCTGCTCTTAATATTTCCTTCTCCCGGAGGATCCAGTCTTCCAGTGAAAAGATGGTAGAATAAATATTTACTGAGATATGGATCTACAAAAAGACATGACAATAAAACTGACACAACTTTTGAAACAACCTGATACATAGTCATATTAATTCTCAAATGATATCGTCATGACGCACAAAAAAATTGTGAAAAATTGAACATCCCAAATGGAAGATACTATACAGAAAACCAATGCAAAAAAATAAGCACAACGGGCACTGAAAACTATGACCACATGTCGGCTCAAAGGTAAAGTTTATAATAATTTTTTCAAGTTTATTTTTGAGGAAAATTCTGAAACGCATCAATATTTATTATCAAAATTCATAACTTTTGAAAATAAACCATTTTTAACAACGAGGTGACCCAAGCAAGTCAACTTTTTGCTTCAGTACTTTTATTTATTATGATAGCCTTCTGTAATTAACTAGAAAACCGCATAGAGCTAAATAATAACGCAATTCAGTTGAAGCAAATGTGACATGTTTAGATCCCCTACATAGTATAACTACGCCAATGGCAAGCTGGACTACATTTCGAGCTCGCTCTCAGAATGATAATTGAATAATAGATTCGGTAACAATCAACATGAATTATGTATTTCATACCCATGGTCTCTCAACAACATAGGACTCTGCATATTGTAGTATTACATTATGTACTATGTATTAAAGTTTGTATTGATATCTACGAGTAACTAGGACTCAAAGTTCGTAGGCTGAGATAGAAAGAAATATTTTTTGATAAAATTTGATTGAATTATTGAATTATTGAATAATTGATACAACAATTATAGCGGTCATACAGTTTTTCGACACCATTTGTATGGTACGATTTATCTTACACCTCAATATTGGCCTGAGTTTCGACGAGTTCCTCTTCATCGGCGCTAAATTCCTTTGAGGCGAACATTCCCTTGAGGTATAGGAACAATAAAAAGTCGCTGGCGACCAGGTCTGGAGAATACCGTAGATGCGGAAGCAAGCGCTGCTGCGCTTGATATTTCTAAGGCCTTTGACCATGTGTGGCATGAGGGTTTGCTGGCGAAACTTCAATGATATGCCTTGTATCATTTCTGTGTATGGCTCTTCAGCTTCCTGAAATAACGTTCCCTGCAAGTGGCCGTCGATGGATATCTCTCGAATACTTTCACTATCAACGCTGGTGTTCCCCAGGGATCCTTATTGTCTCCAACCCTCTTTTTAATGTATATCAACGACTTATTAGAAAAAATCAAGAATACAATATATTGTTCTGCTGACGACAGCACACTTGTCTCGTCATTCCATTTGGATTCCAGGACATCGGCTACGGAGGCACATCTTCACCAGCAGCAGGAGATTGCATATCTTAATGAGGATCTAGCAGTGGTTTCGAATTGGGGTGAAAGTAACCAGGTTCAGTTCAATGCCACAAAAACCCAGGCATCAGTTTTCACTAAGAAGATACATATCTCCGAACCGGATATAATAATGTCAGGTCAGACAATTCCGCTTTCTGCTTCGATGAGTTTGTTGGGAGGTCAAAATGGACACCAATACGTTTTGGCACAATCACATCGCTGGAATTGCAAAGGCTGCTTCTCAAAAGCTTGGAACACTGTTCCGAACCAGAAAACTGTACACACCTCAGCAGCTTTTGATGCTTTATTGGGCTCAGATCAGACCTTCTTTGGAGTATTGTTTTCATGTATAGAGCTCTGCCCCCAAACATACCCTGAAGTTGCTGGATTCCACCCAGAAAAGAGCCATCCGCCTGATTGGAGACGCGAACATCACGTGCAACCTTGATAGCCTGGAACAGCAAAGAAAAGTTGAAGATTTGTCTCACTTCTATAGATACCTTCACGGGAGGTGGTGAAGCAACTTGGAACATTTGATTCCACCAAGAACGGTGCATATCAGGGGTACGCGACGAACTGTGGCTGCTCATCGTTTTGAGATTCAACACAGTACACCTCGAACTTCACTGTTCAAGAACTCTTTCATTGGGAGAACTGCGTTTAATTGGAATGAATTTCCTGAGGACTTTTTTCCAAATGGATTTATTCTCCAACGATTCAAATCCAATGTGAATCGCTACTTTCGCACAAGCACTGCTCTAAGGGCGCCTCAAGGATTTTTCTGTAGTGCTTGTCTTTTGCCCTTAAAAAAAAGCTAGTCATGTTTCGTGCGAATGTGATAGACCGGATCACAAGAGATAAGAAATTTATGGACAAATGAAATTTAGTTATAAAAGCAATATTTCGGGTATGTTGGCCGTGATATACAGATTGTCGTGCTCTCTGGCCATGACAGTTTACACTTTTTTTGATCAACACAAATTACTTCCGGAAAAATATCCAACAAGAGACCCCTACAAACTTGTTCGAAAAACATGAATCCCACCAGGAACATATTGCTTGAACTATAAAAAAGTTATCAGACCTTTCAATGGGTCAAGCTCT